GATACGCAGATTACTTAATTTGCATTTAGTATTTTTAAATAATAGTATACATATAGTTCATATATCTGTATATTATTAAGATTTTGTACATTTTAACTATTATTTATTTTACAAATTCGAATATTGCTTTAGAGTGTGATATTTGGTAAAGCATACTCCTTTGTGCAATGCTGTTTGGCACAATTGACAACAATATCTTGTTTCGCTCCTTTTTCCATTGCACGAACAAACTTTACATTGTTTGGTTGGGAACTTTTTTTTGCCTTTACTCGTTATTGGTCCCAATATATGCTGTTTCATATTCCCAGAGAGTCTCCATGGTGAGTCGACACGTAGGTGATTTGTTGTATTTGGAATAGTTTGTTCTACATCCATAAATGTATCCGTTGATTTTTCTTCCGTCGTCCACAATTTCATCACGGCAAGTAGAAAATCTTTATATTTAATTTTTTCATCATTACACGAATTATAAATCTTCAATGCATTGAACAGGCCGCAGTTGACGAGATATATATATAATATTACCTTTTTAGGCCATTTAATTGTTTTTCTCAATATTGAGTAATATGATAGATATTGATCTGCAAGATCTACACCGTTCATATTTAAATTATAATCAACAATGCATTTCGGTTTTTGTATAGTTTTATATTTTCCAGTGCATTCAACCATTTCAAATTTATGAATTGTCGAAATCATTCGAACCTCTCTCTTATCTTTCCAAATTTGCAACAAAATATCACCTTTCCGTTTGAAAATAGTCTCCCCTTTTTTTAGTTTTAACGGTTTTGTTTTTAAACATTTTGGCAATCGATTGGCGCGTATTGTGCCACATATTCGTATTTTATTTTGTAATAAATGTTCGGCAATGTTCAAAGTATTATAATAATTATCCATGTAAAGATGGTGCCAATATCCAAAATACGGTGTAAGAATCGTTGTTACCGTGTCTTGCATTTTTTTGCCTTGCCCACAATAAATTTCCATATTGCATATGTATCCCGTCTGACTCTCCGACAATACTCGTACGAGTATTCCATATTTAGTAAGTTTACGTGGATTGTACGTTTTAAATTTTAATTTTCCCCGCCAAGGGATCATGGCTTCGTCTAGCGAAAGGTTCTGATGCGGAGTATAAACGGTTTTAAATTTTTCTAGTAGGTAATTATAAACAGGTTCTATTTTGTAGAGCCTATCACAATTTTCATTCATTTTCGTATTATCGTTGAAATGTAAATACCTCGTAATCTGATCAAATCTGTTCCTACTCATTAATTTTGAAAAAATAGGTGTTGTCAAATATGGATCCACGGACCAGTATTCTTTGATGTTATCCTTTCTTATTTGTCCCATCAAAATAAATATTCCGAACAAATTCTTTATTTCGGAACATGAGACATTCCTCCATTTTCCTTGTTTATGAATAGCCTTATATTTATGTACATTTTGTAAGTAATAGCGATTTGTTTCGTCAGTAATAATTTGGAAGAATTTATTGCCAAATATACAATCAACAGCTTCTTTCACGCTGCATTTTCTTTGTAAGGATGTTGTACCACAAATTCTTTCAAAAGGTTCCAGATTTGGAAACGTATCCACATTTGTCCATTCTCCAATTATATACTCATCAGCCTCCACCTCCGAATCTTCACTTTCGCTTGAAATGTTATATTTTTTACTGAGATTTTTTCTTTGTCTAATCACATCATTTAATTCAAGAATATCGCTACTATCACTGAATTCATTTTCGTCGCAAGTGTTGTTTGGTTCATCAGATAAATCATCATATACCAATTCACTTTGAGTTTCGTTTTCATTACATCTATGCGTCATTTCGCTGCTTTTATAGAGGGCTAATTCATAAAATAAATTTTTGTTATCAATTATCAGTAACAGATAGATTGAAAATATAGATAATACTCAAAAAACTGTTACCTTCCAAATTTAAAACACGAAGTTTGAAATTCTAAAATGTAGATCAATAAAACACTTTATAAGATACGATACGTACGACGATCCGCACAGATCAGCCGGCAATGGCTATAATGACTGTTTTTTCTTACATTTAGGAATGATTCAGTTGTTTCGCTTTTGTTTCGGAATGCGAGAGACTTCGTTACCATCGTAACGTAACAGAAACATTTGCAGCTCCTTGCTCAGTTGCCGACTGAATAAAAAAAACATGAAAACGAGATATCTCGTGACCCGTCCGCAACGTTTAGTTTTCTAAAAACGAGATATCTCGTGACCCATCCGCAATGTGTTAATAAAGTGTTTTGAGAAAGAGACCGCGCTTCTTCTTCGCCACAAACGCACGCGTGAATCTCAGTGGCCGGCGATAGTGCCGTCTCGCCTCCGCGGGCGCAACAACATATTACATAAGTTATACGTTTTGTTGGATTGCATTTATAATTAAATGAACTATTGATGCTTGCCATGAGAATAAAAAAGAGAGTATTTTTAAAGCAGTTTTATTTGAAATGTATCAATTTGTTTTACAAAATAAACATAATATTATTTGAATGAATTTCGTATGCAGATGAAGTTACAATATATATTGTTACGCGGGGGTCACCGCGTATGTGTCGCGGGAGCCGCGTGAACGGCGCGCGCTCGGCGCAATTGTCGTCGCTGGGCAACGACGGTTGTTAAAAGAGAGAAGTAACAGAGACGCGAAGCTGTCACGCATTCATAAATCCGGTTGGATTCTTTGTGATAATTGCTGTATCTTGAGCCGTAATAAAGTGTTTATTAAGAAGCCGCGTTCTCTCATTTCCGCGGGACGAGTGCGTGTTTCGCGACGTAGTTTTAGCGCGGCCGCGAACGCAACAATATACTTAAATTAACTGAAAATATATTTTAGTTGATTGAATATATTATCCAGTACATAAGAGATATGTTTTCCTGGATTATATTTTTCAGTAAATGAATCATTAGTGCTTGCCTTGAGAATAAAAAACTAATTGTTTTTAAAGCAGTTGTACTTGAAAGATAAGTATATATTTTTGCATTTTACTTTAAAAGTAAAAACACTTTGTTACTCAAATGAAATTTGCATACAAAAGAAGGAACATGATTCCACTTACATATCAATGTTTTATTACATTGATATAAAAATATTAAAAATTAATTGGAGTAAATATCCGTTCAAAGGAAACTGACATCTTTTTATGCCAGTATATCTGTGAATTTCTTTGGATTACTTCATATCGTTGTAAAACTTATATATTACGTTGATTTCAATATAATAAATAGTTACAACAATTATTTATGTGTTACGTCCTGAGCCTATGACTGACACATTCAAGCAAACGTGAAGTCTATCCCGGCACACTGACACAAAAAAGGAAGTCAGGAATGCGCGGGTCGAGCGAGACAGTTCGGCAACGCAGACAGGCCAACGGGGTTACCCGATTTTTCTCTGTCTAACGTATTCTCACTCGTCGGTTCCTTTTTAGGTCTAAGACGCAAGTCTCAATTACCAAGGACGGAACCACGCGATTTAACGAGGAATGAACGGGTGTTAATTAAGTGTGGTTTACTAGTAGTAGTTTGTTAGTTAGACGAGGTCTATAAGGGTTGAATTAATCAAAGCCGGATTCGTTACGAAGTATTATCATAATTGTTTATTTAAGTAGATTGTTAAAACAATAATAATAACTGAAGGAAAACATAAGTAGACTCTGCATGAATTTGCTTTAAATTGGCACGTACAGTTCAGGTGCTACGATTCGTGTTCTATAACGATTATTATTAAAGAGATCTCCGCGTATTGTTACAAGCGGTGGAATGTTTTGTTGTAGTGACATCGAGATTATTGAGCTGGATTAAAGTTAATAGAGAATCTTAAGTCCGGAGTGCGTTTACGAGAAATCATTTCTTGTCAAAATACACTGACACTAGTTAGTTACGGGTCGTCGGTCGGATCCGTCTCCGCAAGAGATCGTAAAATGAGAAGGTCTATTGTTCGGAAGATTCTACTTTAACATAAGCGCTGTTTATTTGACTATGTGAGTAGCAAATCGAGATAATTAATTAAAAGTAGATCACTATTATTGAATTATTGATTGGATAAATGTTCACGATTGTTATTACGGTACTCGGAATCATTACGTTGTGTGTCGAGAATTAGAAATGGTTGTAAGAATTGATGATATTGACTGTTGCTCATATCGAAATGCAAAAGGTGTATGAGTCTGTATTAGTGACACTTACAATGTACTC